GGGGGGAAAGAAAGTTTTCTGCAGAGTTTTGAATGTCTCGAAAGACAAGACTTAACAGGAAACGGTAAGGAAAGCCTACGGCAAGTTCTTAGCTAATACAGGCATCACAACACTTTTTCCACAACTCATGCAGCCATTTCAAGATAAAATTCCCTGTCAAAAAACAGACAGATTAATTCAAAGGTAACAGAGGGGGGAAAAAGTGAAGAACAAGTGATTTATGGCGAAAAATACCTTAAGTCACATGTTTCTCTACATATTTCACATCAAATGCTTCCAATCACGCTTTAATTGAAAATAGCTGTCTCTTCTCCCCACATCTCCCAGAAAGTTAATTTAGGGGAACACAGTGAAGAAAAGTTGAAGTTTAAATATTTCCAGCGAGTGAGTTTCTGTTGCAGGCTCTGTCTGAGCAGAGCAGCTGCTAATGGTTTCAGACTCTGCCACAAAGAGTTCGACACACACTCTCTCTTAAAAATAATATATTTAAAAAAAAAAAATCAGAAACAAGCTAATTTCACAGCACAGCGGAGCCCACTTAAACAACTAACTGCTCAGTGGATAAGATTTATAAACACACGAGTTCCATCCAGCAAAGGCTAAAATACATTTGCAGATGAAGGTGCGGGCTGCACGGGCTGCGTTAAAGCAATCCTGCTGCCCCAAACTCCGCATCTGCAACAGCTTTATAGCGTGGCAAAAGCTTATGTCACGCATCAAGGTACTATGTGGAGTATTGTCTAAGGGGAAAAGTTTTCAAAATAAAGGCCCGTTCCCCTTGTAACTGAAATAAACGAGGGAGAAAAAATAATTAACGTCATCGGGACAGAATGAGATCACTCCGTTTACTCAGCCCGAGCAATAAGGACATGAAGTATTTTTGAAAGGGTTTTCCACTTCTGGACTAATATAGACATTATCTAATAACTTCTTCCAGGAAAACGATGATCTAATATGCACGGGGGGGAAAAAAACATAACCTGATTAAAAGGCAACACGAAGCACAAATATACCTGCATCTGCAGCATACTACGGCACTTGAGGCTAAAAGTAACTTCCTTATAGCAGGCTAAGCAATTAGGCAAGGGCAAAGGAGAGAAAGGTAATTACACACGAGGTACTGTCTAGCTTAAAAAAAAAAAAAAAATCCATGCTGGGGTAAATCATCTCAAAAGGCAGCTAGTTATTGGTACAGTCTGTAACGCAAGCGCGTTTACCCTGGTTTAAATCTCATTTACGCTGCTTTCTCTTAACTACTTTAAACTAAACCCAGTTTAAATAGATCTACATCAAGGGCTTGCAGCAAGACAAACTTAAACCCAGTATTTAGTTCTCAAGTTTCCATGTAGAAGAGGCTTCAGAAGGAAGAACCGAGTTCATGTGTGGGCAGAACTTGACATTGTGTAGCTGAGATCGCTCCTTCGGTGAAATATATTGTAAAGACTTAGTTTGGGAGAAGCAGTTTAGATTTCATATAAACACAGCCAACATGGCTACACGATGTTCTGCCCCATCCAGCAGAGTTATTACGCATGCAGACACTGCACCCTACCTTCCACAATATCCCTCTTGTAGTCGCTGTCGTTGTCACTGTCCGTGGGCCGATAATAGATATAAAATCCTTGGATGGGCGTGTTGTTGTTGCTCGACGTGATATACTACAAGAGAATGTCAAAAGACTGCCTTAGAGAAGAAAATTTTAATTGAGTCCTGCTGAGCCATCATCACTGAATCTCTTATCACCTTGGAATATGTATTTTTTTGAACAAGCTCGTGCAAGCAAGGTGTAGGGGGAGGTTTGAAATTAAATAATAGAAAAGAGGGGGCTCAGTTGCCGTGGGTGTGCAGACACCAGGGGAGAGCTGCAGAGGAGCTCTCTGTTCCTCAGAGCAGTGGCAAAAAGAGGGGCAGGATGGGGACAAGGGACTGAGCTGGGGGTGACACTGTCCTCCCACACCACTTCCCAAACTGGCAATTAGGGTTTGGCCACAAACAGCCTGAAAATGCAGGCAATTAATGGAAAGGGGAAAGTTAAGAACCGTTTTGACTTCAGAAAGAGTTAAGGTCACTCAAAAATTCAGCTCAAGAATACTTCACTTTAAGTTATGCAGCCTCTGAGGAACTAGAGGTTATTTTAAGTTTATTATCCTTAACATCTCTTAAGGCTGAGCAGAGCAAACGAACACTGGGAACTCTACACGTTAAATCCTCCAAAGTACACCAGGGGGTTAGATTTCAAAACAAGAGCAAAGAATTTCTGTGGGTTTCAATAAGGACTTTAAAGTACTTGTTTACAAAAGAGGAGGTAACAGGGGAAAGGAAAAGGTTTCTCTAATGCAAAACCTCTCCTGGGCTCCAGGGAAGCCGGCGGGTTTTGAGTGCGGTGCCTGCTTCCAGCCATCACAGCCTGGATTGACAAAAGCAGCAGGAATTGCAGGAAACAGAGCCAAATCACTGGCAACCCGTGGCCTGAGCAGGGTTTGGCCAGAGCGAAGCCCAGTGGTGCCTTCTCCACCTCTCTGGGCCAAAGCAGGTGGCACCCAGGTGGCCGCAGCCCGTCCCCGCAACGGGCTCACATCTGGGGTAGCCCCAGTGGCGCCGGGCATCCCCGGGGAGCTGGGAGCTGGTGGAAAAGGCAGAACAGCCAACAGGAGGAGGAAAAAAAGTTTGGAAACTGGGGGCAAAGGGTTGGAGGGGCACGCAGCCCAACCAGTTACCCAGTTCTATACAGAAACACGAAGTATCTCAGCCCTCGTCAAGGAAGATGATAATCTCTGAGCCTTTTTGGGGGGAACCACTCACTGCTCTGCTATGAGCTTTTCATCCTTGGCTTTTAATCATAGAATCATAGAATCGTTCAGGTTGGAAGAGACCCTTGGGATCATCGAGTCTAACCATATACCCTACTCTACAAAGTCCTCCCCTACACCATATCCCTCAGTACCCCATCTAAACGGCCCTTAAAGATCCCTTTAAGAGGCAAAGCAGTAAAAATCAGCCCACGACTGCAAGAGGGAGAGGAGAGAGCTCTACCCACCGTCCATTTTAACATGATCTGGGTGTCGCTGATGGCTTCGGTGTAAGCGATGTGTGGTCCCGCGACGGGGCGGTTGGAGAAGCGGCTGGTGAAGCCGGCTACTTGGTAAGGACGAGACGCCGCGCTGCGCGGGCTCTCCCCGTAGGTGTTCACCGCAATCACCCGGAACCTATACATTTCACCTTTTAAGGGGGAAAAAAGTGAAAGAAAGGAGAGGTTGTAACAGAACGAGGCCTAGAAACGGGGTTCAAGGAGAGACGCTAAACAGATGATGAAGCGCTTTTGGCACAACATCCAATTACAAAAACCAGAGGGCTCGTCGCCACAGACTCACGTGGACATCAGGGATATAAACAGCTTCTGAAAGCTGTTTGGGAAATTCACCCCAGAAAAAATTAGAAGGCTCTTACTCAAGGAGATGGAGATGCCTCCATCACCTCAGGAAGATCCTAAACTGCAAACTGCTGGGCACCAAGATGCCCCAAAGGACACCCATCATCTCTTCCCCTACTCTTGCACTCTTTTCCCAAGCTTTCAGGGCTGGACACTGGGAGAAATCAGGATACACGTTTTGCCATTAGTATATTTTTCTCTTTTTTGCATTCTGAGTGCTTACTAGAAGAACAATCAGCTTAAAAATAGCAGTAATACACAACCCTCCACTCCACATGAACAAGTATTAAATTATGGTGGGTTTTTTTTTTTCCCACTTGGAAAGCCAGAAATCAACTTGAATTCATGTAACGAGCTCCTATTCCACATAACCCTCCCCCCTCAACCACCTAATTGACCAGGAACAGAATAATCCAAGCAGAAATTAAAATGAAACAAGCAAAGAGCTGCAGGATTCTCTCAGCAGGAGCACAGGCAACAACATTTGTAATACCTGGCTCCAAGTTACGAACTTCCACAGAGAGCTTAGAAGGAGAAATGTTCTCGGCTGCAATGAGCCAGTCGCTGTTTCGACCCAGGCGTTTATACTCCACTTTAAAGGCCGTAATGGGGGAGCCCCCGTTCGCCCGCGGGATCCAGGTGACGTAGACAGAGGATTCTGATGCCGTGGAGATGGTGGGTCGGTCAGGAGCTTCTGGAACTGAAATGAGAAATTCAGTTATAAGAGGATTAGAGTCAGCTGAAACTGCATTTTCTGTAGCAACCGATGAAACAAGTGGCTGATGATTCAATTAGACTTCATGTATGAACAAGGAGAATCTTAAATTTTGCCATAATAACTACTCCCCATACTCTTCTGGAAAAGATGCTTGAAGAGCAAAAAAACAGAGGAATCAGTGGCTTTATCAATAAAACAATCAAAAAAAGATCTGGTGTTGCACTATCCCAACCCATCACTACATGGAAACAGAAACATTTACAAAGTAAACGGGGAAAAATTTGGTTATCATTTTTAAAACCCCGAAATTCCCCCAGACCCAACCCTCCCACACTACCGAGCACTGTACGGCCAGAGAAGCGAGACCCAAGAGCAAACCCAGCATGCGAGGAAGGATGTACTTACTGCACTCACTTGAAGTTACAGACAGCAGTGGAACAGAGAGAACGGAAAGAGGTGGTGTTAGTAAATCTGGTGATAACCATCCTGACAAGCGCTGAGAGCCCTAAGGCTCTATTAAACTAGTTTATATTCATTAACACGGAACCGGTCACCGGTGAGAAGAGGGACTGAGCGAGGACCAGCAAGCAGCAGCTCTGGGGACGTGAAGCTGAGCGTTCCCAACTGGGCACACATAAGGAATGGGTAACCCATTGGAATGGGTAAAAACATTGGAATGGGCTGCCCAGGGAGGTGGTTGAGGCACCATCCCTGGAGGTCTTCAAAAGACAGGCTGATGTAGTGCTGGGAGATACAGTTTAGTGATGGTGATGCTTTTTGTTTGTTGTGTGGGTGCCTATTTTTGTCAAAGTTAGGTTGACGGTTGGACAAGATGACCTTTAAGGTCCCTTCCAACCTAGAAGATTGATTCTGTGACTCTGTGAAACCCCTGACATGGGAATCTCCCTTTTCCTCTGGATCTTTCACAGTGGAAAAGAAGAGAAAAGCACAGAGCATTCAGCAAAAAGCAATGGCAGGTTAAACCACGAGCAGCAAGAACGTGGGTTACGCGTGAGAGATTACTCTTTTGAGAGGCACACACGCAGGTAAGAGCATCCTTGGAAATTGTATATTTTCATGAGATTAGGGCATGCATTTGCTAAATTCATAGCTTCAAATAACCTGCTGTGGGTGTTGAAGTCTGTAAAAAATGCACTGCTACTTGGTGACTTAAGGGTGCTGGGGAAACGACGTAAAATGCTAACTCACTGACTGCAATAAGGAAACTTCCAGTTAGTCCCAAAGCACGGACTGTGATCTTTTACTCTGGGAACACAGAAGGAGAAAACCTAGCAGATATCTGACCTCACCCACAGCAGTCCCACAAGAGAGGGAAAAACACCCGTAACAAGAAAACCTGGGGAATAAATAGGAAACAGAAGGGGTGACACAAGCACCTAGAGCAGCAATAAACCCAAGAGAAGCGAGAGGTGGCTTTTAGGAGCTGGATGACAAAGCAGCCATAGACCCACCTCCGCTGTGCCGAGACAGGTCCGGAAGGACGACGCCGAAATTATTTGTCCCTTCGTGCACAACGGGGTGCTTGGGAAGGCCCACCGGTGGAGACGGGGCCTGAGTGTTTTTCGAGGATGATGTTCTCTCTAAGAAAGATGTGACACGGGGTACATCAGCTCAGAAAATGCTCTTGGTGCCTCTCACCGCCGGCTGCAGCGCAGGGAATTAAAGCCCCAGCTCTCAGTCACAAGTTCATCAGTCAGGAAAGCAATTAGGGGGGAGCAAGAGAGGAGACTCCCCCCATCAGCAGTGCTAACAGCCCCAGCGTGGCACTTTACGGTGCCACCACCGGCTCCTGCCCAGGTTTCAGGGCCCCCTCTCATCAGGAAATCACAGCAAGGGGGGAAATTGCCCCCTGAAACTCCTGTCTAGAGAAAAGAGGCTCAATAAAAACGCTACGGAAGCTGGGGCCAGGATACCGGGCTGAGTTCTGGCCTGTGGCAGTGTGTATACACATATCAGGAATTCACAGATTTCACAAGTACATTACATTCTTAATAAAATTTTAAGCATCAGTACGAGAAATACGTGGTTGTTTGGATGCTTAAGAGTGCAGCCACCAGCCCCCAAGCTGGGAAGAAAACACTGGCTTTGGTTAGAAATGCTCTTTTTTCTTCTCGCTGTCCGCACGCAACCACCAACACTTCTGCTCCAGCCTCCTGCTCAGCCCAGAAATTCCCACTAAAGCTTCTGCAAAGCAAACCAGAAGCACTTTTTGTTGATACGTGGCAATTTGATGGCACAGAGTTTCTTTGGCGATACTCTGAAAAACCTCAACAAGGACAGGCTGCTCCCTAACTGAGCGCCTTCAAGCGAGAGAGGAACCTTGCAGTATAAATCTTAATAATCAACCCCAAAATAGTACTATCAAGCTTTTAATAGCTTTTACTTTCCAAGAGTAACGCTCAGGAAAGTTTACCCCCCCCCAGTGTTTCAGTCCTTAGAGGCTGTTTTTCAGCAATGAAATAGCAGAGCATTTCACACCTGGCTTAGCAGATGAGTAGAGCTGATGTATTTTAAATCAACGTCCCCTGGAAGCGCTGGGGACGCGGGGACCGCGGCGCTGCCCCTACCTTTGCTGGTGCGGAAGGTGAGCATGGCGGGCTGGCCCTCGCCGGCCGCGCTCCGGGCCACCATCAGGACCTCGTAGAGGCTGGAAGGCTCCAGCTCGGCCAGACGTAGCTGGCTCTCGCTGCCGGGGACACGCACGGTCTGCCAGCCGCCCCCCGCGCCGGGTCCGTCCTCCAGCTGGGATGGGGAGAGAGGGGCATCAGCAGGGAAGAGCACAGAACCCCCCCGAAAACCCAAATTCCACCCCCAGCGCTTCCCCATCCCAGGGACCTCTGCCACTTGCCCAAAACCTCCTCATGTTTCTCCTGCATCTATCAATGGGTTGGGCTCCAAGGGCTTCTGCCACAAACCAGCACTTTGGCAACTCCTTTGATAAACTCCACTTATTTTCCCTCTCCATACACAAGCACACACTTGTCTTTGGGAAAAAAAAAAATTTAAAAATGCTCATTTTCACTTGTGGCTAAAACTAGCAAGAGACCAAATGATTTTAAAGACTTCAAGCAGCCTTTAGCCGTGACATTAAAGGGCTGGACCCAACACCCTAATGAGAAAGATATGTTTCCTGAACTGTCCCAGCTTTTCCTGGACTTAAGCGTTTTTAAATACTTAAATTTTTTATTGGCTAAAATTTATTTATTGGCTAAAATGGGCAACAAAAAGTATGTCTTAGTTACTTCTCGAAGCTGGGAAGAAAAAAAAAAGTCTGCAGGGAGACCAAAGATTTGGTTTTTATTAATGCATGTTTCCTTTTTTAAAAAAAAAAAAAAAAAAAACCAAAACACTTTTTAATTTAACAGTGAAATCACCAGCTCCATTTAAGAAAGGAGAGAGAGATTCAGGGTAGTCTCTTAATGCTTGACCTTTACAGGAAAACATTAGCTCAAATCCCAGAGGAAAAGACAAAGATTCTACCAAAAATAAACTACTAAACAATATAAGACTTTAATAAAACATGGAAGGCAGATCTAAATGCTGTGGATTATCAAAGGTTATGGAAGAGGTCTTTCTTCTGAAGCAACCCTTCTTCTAAGGCTTTTTTTTCCCCCTCTCTAAAAGAGGGAAATCAAGAAAATAATTTAATGACACAAAGAGAACATCGCCCGAAAAATCCACGGTAAACTGCTGCCGAGAGACACACGAGGGAGCAGATCCATGGTGGAAGGGATAGCTACGAGGGAAGGGTGAAGCATCAGAAAGGTCAAAGAAGCTCTCAAAGCTTTGAGGGCTTACGGGAATCAACCAAGTTGGGAGGAGAAATTGTATCAACAGGCTTTGGCACCGGGTTTTTCAGGAACTAACAGGTCAAACTCTAAGCGTTCCCCTCCAGGCTAAGACAAGATCAGGATGTAGAGGATTAAAAAAAGCTTATGGAAAATAAACCAAAAGGGCTTTGCCATGCAGAAAAGTGTTTACTTGGAAGAACGGGCATGGGCATGGCTTGGTTCTGGTTTCAATAAAAGAGCTGACACGCTGTTGACACACTGTTTTTGGGGAGGTGGTAGGTGTCTGCTTAGGGAATCCTGGTTCACCTTCGTATCTGATAACTTTTAAAAGTGTCTGTTTGGGATGCAGAGCAGCAAACCCTCTGACACGTCAGGCCAACACTCAGCTTCCCTTCTGACCCCAGGTGTATCCACCAGGGTTGTTCACACAATCACATTTTTACTATCACTGAGGTTCCTCACAAACACACCCCGCAGCCCCACGGACCGTAAGGGTCCTGTAAAGGAAACAAAACCCTGGGCTCTGCTGAATAAATCTCACTGAGAACTACATGAAACGGCGTACTCGTGACCAGCTTCGGTCACCCCTGAAAGAAGCCACCTTCACGGTCAGGGTAACGCTGTGGTTCCACTACACCCTGGCCTGACACCCCCTTCTCGTGACTGAACAATCACAGGGGCTGGGAGGGACCCAACCCAAGGAATCCCACCCTCTCCAGCACCAGGAGAGACCCAACCCAAGGAGACCCACCCTCTCCAGCGCCAGGAGATACCCAACCCAAGGAAACCCACCCTCTCCAGCATCAGGAGAGACCCAACCCAAGGAAACCCACTCTCTCCAACACCAGGAGAGACCCAACCCAAGGAGATCCACCCTCTCCAACACCAGCAGAGCCCTTACCTTGCGGTATTTGACAAAATAGGCGTTGATGGGGGAGCCCCCGTCCCTCCCTGCCCGCCAGACCAGGTTGTACACGTCGGGCTTCAGCGTCTGCGGGGGGCTGAGGATGATGGGGGCCTCAGGGGGGGCAGCCGCCCGCCAGCCTTCCTCCGTCCCCGCCACCTCCCAACGCGCCGTTGTTGGAGCTGGGCTTGAAAACGCCACCTTGGCTCCCAAATCGCCGACGCTTTCATGGCTCCAGGCAGTCTTCATCTCTTGGGCTTTGGGGCCAGTTTCTGGGGGAACTGTGAAGGGAGGAGTGTGGTTACGTCCCCACCACGAATGCGCCTTTGCCCCGGCACAGAGGGGACAAGAAATCATTTAAAAGTCATAGAGTCATAGAGTTGTCCAGGCTGGAAGGGACCTCCAAAGGCCATCTAGTCCGACCCCCCCGCAGTCAGCAGGGACACCCCCAACTAGACCAGGTTGCCCAGGGCCTCGTCGAGCCTCTCCTTGAATATCTCCAGGGAAGGGGCCTCAACCACCTCCCTGGGCAACCTGTTCCAGTGCTCCACTACCCTCACAGTAAAGAACCCCCTCCTAATCTCCAGTCTAAATCTGTTCTAAAGCATCATTTCCAAACAAGTCCTCCTGCAAAAAGCCAGCTCCAGGGATGCCCCTGTAGATCCGAGCCCGGGGCCAAGCTCTGCCCTGGATGCCCGTGTAGATCCGAGCCCGGGGCCAAGCTCTGCCCTTCTCTCCCAACTTCTTTTCCCAGAGCAGAACACTGGGGCAGGCATTTTTTGGGTGATGTTTTTGGGGTGTTCAGGGTTCTTTTAGGTTTCCATGTGTTTCTTTGTTATTTTTTTACACAGTAGGAAAGACAGAAAAGCTGAGCTGACACACCCACAGGCACTGTTTGACCAGCATCTCTGAAAAATTAAGCAGTGGCAACGCATGTTAAAAGAAAGAAAATAAAATATATAGCCACACTCATGACACAAATGGAGTAATTTTAAATTAGTCGCAGTTGTACAAGGAACTCTTCATGGCCTGAACTGGCGTGCACACAAGAGGACATTCTCCTACCTCAGCTGCTGAGGTTTGAGCTGTAATTTCAAGCAGGTTTGAAAGTCGCACAACTCAACTACTTCATTTGAAAATTTATGCTGAGAATAAGCTGGGTTTGCAGGCAGATCTACCCTGCAATTTAATAACACTTCTAGAAACTTTAATAACTTCTAGAAATCTCGCTCCAGCCTCCTCCATCCTATTTACTTTGCCCGGTATGAAAAAAAATATATTTTAAAAAATTATATATTTATATATAATACACATATATAAAAAAATATATCACGAAAAGCGCTGTGAGACAAAAAAAAAAAGCTTTGCTGGGCTGCTGCAGAGCTTGCCAGCATTCCAGCGTTCCAGGCAGGTTGGACATCTGAGATTGTCCAGGACAAGGAGACGTGGGTGCGTGAAGCAGGAGGGCCTGGGAAGCAGCACGGCTCCTGGAGGCCACCGGCACCACCAGATGTTCCGAGCCCCGTCCCTCCTTTCGGATTTGTGTAGGTTTATGCTCCGTGCCGGGGTCTGGAAGAGGGAAGGGAATGAAGGGAACTTGGTTTACAAAACAAACAAATTCCTCGGTAATGTAAAGCCCAGGCAGCGTTTGCCTGCCTGACTTGGATTCCTCCAAACCTCCATTAAAATACCAGCAGCAAGTGTGGCTGCTATTTTTGGCCACTTTTTTTTATAAAAGCTGGGAAGGAAAGTTCTCTTTTCCAATTGAAGACACTCTCGCAGCAAGCATCCCTCCTTTGTTTCTTCCCATTTATTTTAGGGATGCCACAAAGCTGGGAGAGGAGAAGGGAGGGTTTTTTTGGGGGGGGGGCAGAGGGGTTCTGATGCCTGCTGGCCCCGGGGGAAACGGCCTCTGCATGTGGAGAATGAGCTGTGGTTGGGGCTGGTGACAGGGGACCCGCAGCCACCGCCGTGTTTATTGCTGCGAGAGGGGAGTCGTCAACAACTGGCAAGTGGCATGCTATTTTTTTTGGCTTCGGAAAACAAGCCCCGGGTAACAATTTCCATTGAGCAATTTGGATCTAAGCTCTTCTCGCTAACTTTCTGGAGTAATTGCTACCCAGCACAGCGGACTTCTGTCATTAAGCAACTTTTTTCGGCTGCTGTTTTTAGTGCCATCCCCTTCCCCTTCACCACCAAGACTCACTCCTCTTCCTCGGCCGCCCAGCCCCCCTGCGAGGCACGAGCAGCACCCGCTTAGATCAGACCAAAAGGCTGCGTGTGCCCAAAGTCCTGACTCCGACAGCAACCAGAGGAGGACCAAAGGATCCCAATTTGGGTGTTGAAAGAATGTATTCACAGCTTTTACTCCCGTTCCCCATAATAAACCAGACTAGCATTTTACAGCTCGCTGTTGTGTTGCCTTCATCCTACTCCACCAACCTGCAATCAGTGCTCCTCTTTCTCCTGTTTTACAGCGACCTGCCTGCTCCTCAGGCTCCTGGGGTGTATTTTCTTCCTTAATTTCCACTAGATGAAGTTATTTTGGACAATTAACCCTGTGTTTAGGAGCTCTGGGAAGCTACTGCCATGCACACAAACACCACAACTGGCTAAAAAAGACTTCAAATAAGCACCACGGGTAGAGGATCCTTCAGGCCATCATTTCACATTCTGGTGGTTTCTCACTATGATGGTGGCTTAAGTTGCCCTGCCCGCTTTTTAAGGCCATGCAATGAATCACATCATGGAATAGATCCAGCAGAAAAAGGGAAAAAAAAAAAAAAAAGACATATTTTTTCAGCCCAATAAGCTCTCTTTACTGCGTGTTCGCACAGGGCAGATCACGGGAACGAGCTGCTGAGGCTGAGAGCTGCTGAAGTTGATCCTAGAACCAAAGAAATGCAGGGGAATCACAGCTTAAGCCATCCAGGTGCTTCAGAAGTGTGTGTTACCTGGCACAAATTCTTCATTAAAACATTTAAACCTTGGAGCACGTCTTCTGGCACGGCTGGGAACTGCTCTAAACCCCTAACAGCTCCCAGAAACTACTTAAGGGCTTTTATATCAAAACCAAATGCCTCAACCACCCTCTGCACCATAATCAGCAGCTACTACAACGTATTAGAAACCGATAAAAGTTAATAAACAAAACATTAAAATTGAACTCACTGCCATAAAATTCTGAGGCAAAGCAGTGGGATTTTTCTATTTGACACAGACTGGATTCTGGGATAATATTTAGTTTTGTGTTTCCACTCAGCAAGGTCCAACAATAACTTATTTATAAAACTATACGATGGGATTGCTTTCTTGAGGTTTCTTCTTTCCTTCTTCCTCCAAGTGAACTTTTAACCATCTTTTCAAATTATTTACATGAGTTTTGAACTCTAATCGATCGTAACAAAAAAAAACCATAAATATGGGGCCACATCTTCAATTCCACTGACCTTAGATCTCACTGAAATTCAGCTAAATTTACTAAGGTGAGATGTTGAAAGAGCTGAGAAACTCAAGACACTTCACGTAACCGAAAATCTGCATCTTAGTTCTTGTGAAGGGAACTTGGGGGAGGGGGAGGCTTAAAGCCCTTATTAACATCACATAATATTCTGATGTGACGAAAGAAAAATAGCTCTTTCCCATCTTGCCTTTAGTACAAGAACTGTCATTTCCTAGTAGAAAATTCAAGAAATAAAAAACCCCACCCTTGGATTGCTTTTATCACCTAGAAGATTGCCAAAACCCTGCAGAACACACTCACTGCTCCGTTGCCCGAGGTGGGAGGGAGGAACTGGCCCCCCTAAAGACAGTTGACTCCTCTGCTTCATTTCCCCAGGGGACACCCACACTTCCCACCTGCTGATAATTCCTATTTTGAGGCATTTTTCACCTAAACCAGGGAGCTGACTGGGTGATTGTGTGCTTCAAGCTTACCGACTGTGAGGGAGGCTTTGGCCACTGCGGAGCCATGCTCGTTGACAGCTTCGCACGTGTACTCCCCGCCACGGGCAGGAGTCACCTTCCTCACGTGCAAGGAGCTCCAGCCCTCCTGGGACACGGTGGAGGAGCTGGTGGCATCCATCACGGGGCTGCCCGGCGCTGCCCAAGGAGGTTTCTGCAGTTTGGAATGAAGCACCTGGGAAGGGTGGCTGGTGATGGGTCCTCTGCTGTCGTACCAACGGATGGTGGGGACGGGCAGGCCGGTGGCATTGCAGGACAGCGTAACGTCCCCGCCGTCTACCACAGTGACACTCGCCGGTGGAGAGACTATAACCGGGCTGGAGCCTTTGCCTAGGGGGGGAAACAAAAAAAAAAAAAACCCACCTAAAGAATGAATTTGGCTAAGAAATACAACACGCTGAATGCCACAATGAGTCAACGCAATTAAAAAAAGTCACCCCTGCTTCTTTTTAATCATAGAATCATCATTCAGGTTGGAAGAGACCCTTGGGATCATCGAGTCCAACCATCTCCCCTACTCTACAAAGTCTTCCCCTACACCATATCCCTCAGTACCCCATCTAAACATCCCCTAAACACATCCAGGGATGGTGACTCAACCCCCTCCCTGGGCAGCCTATTCCAATGCCCAACCACTCTCTCGGTGAAAAATTCCTTCCTAATGTTCAGTCTAACCCTACCCTGTTGGAGCTTGAAGCTGTTCCCTCTTGTTCTGTCATTAATTACCTGTGAGAAGAGACCAGCCCCAACCTCTCTACAGTGTCCTTTCAAGGAGTTGTAGAGAGTGATGAGGTCTCCCCTCAGCCTCCTCTTCCTCAAACTAAACAGTCCCAGCTCCTTCAGCCGCTCTTCATATGAAATAAATCATTTTAACAGTTCCTCTGGAAAGTTTAACCAGTTGTTTCTTTTCCAGATGGCCTCTCCAGACCTCTTTTCCAGACTGAGAAGATCAGCTGAGCTTTGTGCTGATAGAAAACCCCACTCAAACCACACTTCAGGTTTCCTAAATAAGGCAGAGGTGGCTGTCAGCGAGGAGTGCGGTGTTGTCCCCTCCCCGCACACGCAGGTGACACACCATCCGCTCAGGCAGCTCACGTCTGTCCCCACAGACAGAGAAGGGCAAAAGCTTCAGCTGCACTTGGCAGGAAGCACAGGAACAGTGTGGAATTGTCTTGCCAACACCCCCGTGGCAGAAATCAAGTTCTCTGGGTAGTAGAAAGCGTTTTAGACTGAAAAGTGATCAAACCATTGGTACTTGCTGGTCTGGTCCAGGGGAAGTGAGCATCAACCCCAGCTCTGATGACTCCTTTGTAAACATGAAGACATGGAACAGGCATTAACTGCTCGTCAGCCAGTCCACTAAGAACACCAGTTGGTCCAGCACAACAGGACCCTGATTTATTTAAGACTAAATCGTGCCAAATTCAATCATAATCTGACCTAATTGCAGCTGGTAATCTAGGTTGTAGGTATCAACTAACCACGCTAGCCCAGAAATGCCTTACAATTCAACTGGAAGCACTTTCTCTGTAAGATTTGCTACAAACAATGGTCAGAAACAAATCAATACATAATCCAAGGAGAAAAAAAAAGCCAGAAAAACAGAATAAAGCTTGAAGTACGATGTGCTTAATTGGAGTTCTTGAGGGCTGCAAGTGCTCCTACCCATCTGGACGCGGAGTCTCCCCGTGGACTGCGCGGATCCCAGCCCGTTGTTGGCCACGCACTGGTACAAGCCAGAGTCCTGGGGGGTGACACCACGGATGCGCAGGCGGTTCCCCGTGGGGAGATGCCGTGGGGAGGGCAGGAGGGGGGCTGCGTCGTGGAACCAGGAGAGGGTGGGAGCGGGGCTGCCGCGGACGTCGCACCAGAAATGCACAGTGGCGCCAGCAGCCACAGTTTCATCCTGCAGCCCCTTGGTGATGGAGGCAGGTTCTATAAAGGGAAATAAGTTTACATAAAGCACCACGTGTTGATCTTAGCCTAAGTCCTGCAAAAAAACCCCGTGAAATGTTACAGAAACTTATTGCTAAACAAGCACCAAATAATTCTAGTTCTTTGCAGCCTGCAGCTGGTTTTCCCCCCACATTTGCTTATTTTAATGGTCTCTCCCTTCTATTCCAGTCGCATGTTTGCATTAATACTGTAAATAAAACACTTGTATTCTCAAAATAATTCTTTAGTGACACCCCCAAAACAAAGGGTGTATTGTGTGTCAACAACCTGTTTTCTGAGCTACTCGTAACATAATACATTTCAAAACCCAAACAAAAACAATCACGGAGGCAAAAACCTCAAACAGGAAAATCTGCTACAAAGGAAAGGGGAGACAAGGAACGAATTGCAGCCACACGAAAGAGGACAAATCTATTTCTTTTGCTTTTTTTTTTGTCCTCATCCAAACACACCGCCTCTCCTCGCCAGCTTTTTGCTATATACAACCTCGAGAGAGAAACATCTGATCTCTGGCACACTATTGATGCTGTATCCCATATACACTTGGCACTCTGTAGAAAAATAAATAGATCCATTCTTTCCTCCCAGTTTATCCTTTATTGCTTAATTATTTCAGACCTTGAAGGATCTGAAGAGATAAATAGTTATGATTTTAACTCGGGAGTGACGATGGACGCATCTTATTCTTTATTTTAATACAGTTAGGTTGAGAAGGATGTCAGGCTATTTGTAATCAGGTGCCAAAACTAACAAGTATGCTAAGAAAATTGCCTGGAGGTGAAAAAGTTTTTATTTCTTACCAAGTACAGTAAGTGAATAGTTAACGTATTCCACTCCTCCGGATTCGTTTTCCAGCAGGCAGGAGTAATTCCCAGAGTCGGAGGCCTCCAGCCTGTGGGTCACCAGGTGGGAGTGCAGCAGCTCCCACCCCCCTGTCCCCAGCGCGTCCCGGCCGTCCTTCACCCAGCGCAGGGCAGCGGGGGGGGACCCGCTGGCCACGCACTCCAGGGTGAGGGGGCTGTGCAGGGGCACCGCCAGGCGCTGGGGGGACGTGGGGTGCAGGATGTGGGAGCTGCCCGAGGAAGAGCCTGAGAGAAAGGAGACGAGGCTGTGTCACTAACCCAGCTCTGAGACCCCACTCTCACCTCCCGACCCCCCAGGTCCAAGGGTGGCCACGTCTTTGGAGCACAGCTACTTGTACTGGTGACCAAGCATGAGGATCTTCCAGGAGCCCTGCTCCAAAATCAGTTGGGCAAGTGGAGTGGTCGCCCTTGAAAAGGGGATATTACTAAATGCTCTGCCCTCTTGGGAAGGGGAAATAAGGAGAACGTGCAAATAACACCAGACAGATTTTACATAACGTGGCATTTGTGACCAGTGGGTATTTAGGCTGAAATGGCCACACTAAAAGTCTTAGGGATGTTATTTATTTTGGTTTGAGGTGTTATTATTTCTGGAAAGCTGAACTGAATACTCACGTGTGACTACGAGCTTACGTCCAGTGAGCTCTGTTCGGAGATCGTGGGTAACTGGGTTGTACGCTGCACATTTGTAGGACCCTCTGTCTTCTAAAGATACGTTCAAAATCTGCAGGTTTCCAGATGGAAGAATTAGGTAGTTGTCTAAACAAGTGGGGAAAGAAGAGAGATCATATTTAACTTAGTTTCAAAAAAAAAAAAAGTCTTCCTTTTAGAAAAAAAAAAAATACATTATTTTTAAATAACTTGTCAGATATAGCAACGTATTCTAAATGTAGGATCAGAAAGAAGTCGTGCAAAGGATATTAATTTAGAAAGGTAGGTTTAGATAGTAATTTGCACAGGAAATTCTGCGAGGAGTCTTTTTTTTCCTTCAAGTTCTAAGAAAAACAAAATCCAGGCAAGCTTTTGTGGGATATTTATATTGCTGACCAGTGGCACGAGCCACCTCACCTGTGGATTGTTCCAGCCATTTCCCCCGCACTTGAAAGCGAACCTGTGCTTTGGGGTTACTTTCTGGCACCTGGCACCTGATAAAAGCTGAACCTCCTTCCTCTGCTGCAACAGCAGGTTTCACCGAGGCATGGAAATCAGCCAGACCTAGGAGAGAATTGGTCAAAGGTGAAGAGGAGCTACAGATCAGGACATCAGGACAGATGGCAGCAGCCCCTCAGCTGCTCTACAAAAAGCCAGCAGAGAAATCATAGAATCATTCAGGTTGGAAGAGACCCTTGGGATCATCGAGTCCAACCATCTACCCTACTCTACAAAGTCCTCCCCTACACCATATCCCTCAGTACCCCATCTAAACATCCCTTAAACACATCCAGGGATGGTGACTCAACCCCCTCCCTGGGCAGCCTATTCCAACACCCAACCACTATCTCTGTGAAAAATTCCTTCCTAAAGTTCAGACTTAAAACAGTGATGCCAGAGACAGAAACCTCCTTCCCCCTGCTCCTGTTAACCCTGAAACCTAATGATGACTGGTCCGAGATGGAAATCTCCTTCCCCCTGCTCCTGTTAACTCTGAAACCTAATGATGACTGGTCAGAGATGGAAATCTTCTTCCCCCTGCTCCTGTTAACTCTGAAACCTAATGATGACTGGTCAGAGATGGAAATCTTCTTCCCTCTGCTCCTGTTAACTCTGAAACCTAATGATGACTGGTCAGAGATGGAAATCATAGAATCATAGAATCATTCAGGTTGGAAGAGACCCTTGGGATCATCGAGTCCAACCATCTACCCTACTCTACAAAGTCCTCCCCTACACCATATCCCTCAGTACCCCATCTAAATGTCCCTTAAACACATCCAGGGATGGTGACTCAACCCCCTCCCTGGGCAGCCTATTCCAATGCCCGACCACTCTCTCGGTGAAAAATTCCTTCCTAATGTTCAGTCTAAATCTGACAGACGGCAGCGCTACTCCCAGGCTCAGAAAGGCACCGCAGAGAAGACAATTTACACAAACAGCAGGAAGCCTTGTCCGTAAGAAACATTGAATTGTCTTTCTGTGATTATAATTAACACAACACTGAGTACAGCAGCGCCTCCCACAAGCAACGAGGCCAGCGGAAAGCCCCAGCAGCTAACAGAGCCTTCCAATTCCCTACTAAAAAAATCTCAAAAGGAGGAGGAAAAGCGTGAAAGCTGCTCTTCTGCTGCCTTCACGTTCAAAGCATCTTCCAGGTTGTGAAGTTTTTCTATGTCAGCCACCCGTACAGCTCTCTTGAGAGGGTCTGGCTATGGGTCAGTACTTTACCAAAACACTTACTTCTCTCACTTTTAAGAAATTTTCCTCCCTGGGGGGATTTTGGACATGCTCCATAGATGAGGTGTCCTCACAGAGAAAATCACTCAAATCCTGCTCGACAAAGGCCTGATTCAGCCAGCACCATGGTCCCGAGCAGACAAATCATGCTGACAGAGGAATTTTAGATTCCAATTCTCAGCACCACATCATCCTCTGCACATGGAAAACATTGCCCTTCCTCTTCTAAAGTCCTTTAAGAGCAAATAATTTACAGATCAAGTGCTAAGGCAGAGATTGATTAGAAGAACCAGGACTGAGAGAAGGGAAATTGCACCTAAAAGGAGAGAAGACAGTCCCCACCTGAAGAACATCTAGACAGTTTTAGCCAAATGAAATGAAATAAGTGAAAAGTACAATTTGCAGCTCCTGCCTATTTCCCAGGCACCGATTCCCACTCATTTCTCCTCTTTGCTAATCAACTCTCAAGCACACTGCTGCAATGCATGACAGCTCAGTTGCTCCTTCAAGATCCTTTTTGAAGAGAAGCTTTTGGGGACCTTGTACTTTCAGGTCAGTTCATTGAAATGAACGTTATTTCACTGAAAAACATTTATATTTGCTTGAAAGGACTCTTGAGGTCTCTAGACCAGCCTTCAGCTCACAGTATGGCTATCACCAACGCCAAATCGACCAGCTGTGGCTCTGTCTAGTTGAGTCTTTAAAGGCCTCCAAGGATGGAGAACCACAAGCTCTCCAGGGAATCTTTTCCATGGCTGCATCACCCAACAGGTCTCAGGTAACACTGATAGCCTTCTATGATATTATAACTCGATGGTTGGATGAGGGGAGAGCAGAAGATGTCATCTACCTTGACTTCAGCAAGGCTTTTGGCACTGTCTCCTATAACATCCTCATTAGAAAATTAACAAGTGTGGGCTAGATGAGGGGGCAGTGAGGTGGATTGAGTCCTGGTTGTGTGACAGGACTCAGAGGGTTGTAATTAATGGAGCAGGGTGTAGATGGAGGCCTGTGACCAGTGGTGTCCCCCAGGGGTCAATACTCGGCCCAGTCCTGTTCAACACATTCATCAGTGACCTGGAGGAGGGGACAGAGTGTACCCTCAGTGGTGATACTAAACTGGGAGGACTGGTTGACACTCCAGAGGACTGTGCTGCCATCCAGTGTGACCTGGACAGGCTGGAGAGCTGGGCAGAGAAGAACCTAATGAGGTTCAACAAGGGCAAGTGTAGGGTCCTGCACCTGGGAAGGAAGAACCCCAAGCACCAGTATAGGTTAGGGATGGACCTGCTGGAAAGCACTTCTGAGGAGAAGGATCTGGGGGTCCTGGTGGATAGTAAGTTATCCAGGAGCCAGCAATGTGCCCTTGTGGCCAAGAGGCCAATGGGATCCTGGGCTATGTAGGGAAGAGTGTGGCCAGGAGATGGAGGGAGGTCATTCTCCCCCTCTGCTCTGCACTGGTGAGGCTGTAGAGCCAGACTCTTCTCAGTGGTTTCCAGCAATAGGACAAGGGGCAACGGGCACAAGCTGGAACATGGGAAGCTCCATTCAAATATGAGGAAGAACTTCTTTTGGGTGAGGGTGGCAGAGCCCTGGAAAAGGCTGCCCAGGGAGGGTGTGGAATCCCCTTCTCTGGAGATCTTCAAGCCCCACCTGGATGTTCCTGAGTGATGTGCTCTGGGCAACCCTGCTTTAGCAGGAGAGTTGGACTAGATGTTCTCTAGAGGTCCCTTCCAACTCTGATAGTTCTGTGATTCCGTGTCTAATTGATCATATACAAAGTACTGGCTGGGGTGGGGTGGGGGTGAGGAAATAACAAAGATCTCTTATCTCGAAACCAGGGTGTCTCTAAAAGTCAAAGATAAACAAACCCCACAAACCAGCTGAGGTCTATATAATTTGCAAGAAGTGAGGAACACAAAGAAAAATGCACTTACTGCCCATGGAGACCGTTGCAGGCCTGCTCACAACGGCGCCCACACTGCTGTTGGCCACGCACTGATAGTGGCCAGACGTCGAGAGGCCAAGGGAGAGGATCGTCAAAGCTCCCGACTGGATTTCCACCTCTCCCACCTTGCTGTCCAGAGGCTCCCCATTGAACAGCCAGGAAAGGCGAGCCGTGGAGGGCTCAGCAGAGCAGCGGAGCTGTACGGACCCACCAGGCTTCTGGACAACAGACAAGGGCTCAGAAATAAAATGGGGAATTAAATCTAAAAGGGAAAAAAAAAAGAAAAAGAAAAAGAAAAAAAAAAAAAGATATTCAGTTAGCAAATGGCATTTTGCATGAGAACAAACAAAATGGTTAATGACAACTCGTGCAAAAGGCTGACCATAATCTGCTTTATAGTAATGCTCTCTCCCAAGGCTCCTGCTGCTGCTCAGACCTGGCAAAATTCTTCCGTGGGAAGAATTATTGCTAAAAAAACTATTCAAATCAAAGACAGACAAAGAAAGGGTTTAAACTCCAAGTTGCCAGTGATGCTCAAGCAGGTGGCACCTTGTCCTCTGTAGGAAACACTGCTGATGGATTCCCACCACCTCTCTAACGCCAGGGAAAATGTGATGATCCCAACCTCGTTAGGAGGGTGAGGGCGATGAACCACGGTCAGGCACAGGAGGGCACCCCCAGGGCAAAGGCACGGCCCTGGCTCTGCTGGCACAAACCCCAATCCCGCCGGATTTGGGGGGGGGGAATGGCAGCCGTCACCTGCAGAGACGGAGCTCGGGAACAGGCAGCTGCAGCTGATCTGTCCCAGATGAAGAGGGCCCGGACGTGACTTGTAAAATTTTAGAAATGGTAGCAGCCTGCCAGGTATTTCTGCAGAACCGTCTCCGAGTCTGCAGAACTAATTAAAAATAGCAGGGTAAAAAAAAAAAAAAAACCCAAGAAAAAACCTGGATGAACAGCAAAGGCTCTTGTTATTTCCAAATACATGGACTTCATCAGGACCAGAATGATGAATTGGGCATCCATTATCTTTACTGAGTTAAAGACGAAGAGAAACAGGAAAAGCTGCTAATAAATAAAAGGTTCAGTTCCACACAACTTGGTTATGAGAATCCATTTAGTTGCCAGAAGAAAATTCCTGCTTGTTGGAGGAAATTTTTTCCTATCCTGGCCAATGAAACACTGGGAATTATTTCAATTTGTTTTCTACAGAATTCTCTACGAAAGATTTTGTACGAAGAGAACAAGCAAAAGGCAATTAACACCGATAACTCCTATTCGGTTAGAAACTCGGCAGAAAAAAAAAAAAAAAGTCTTTAAAAATAGACCCAGTGGCTGGGAAAAACAATTTCTAGTTTGTAAATATGCTAAGGAATTCCAGATAGTACAGGTCAAGAAGATATTAAATGACATCCAAGTGAGAGACAGTTTTCTTGTAGGTGGGGCCCTCAGCTCATGCTTTTCTTCTAAAGTCAGTCCATCCAAGCTCTGTTTATGAGTTTCAGATGAGAAACTGTGCATTTAGAACAGAACCATAAACTATCTGCATAAACATAAAATAAAACTGGAAATTAAAGTGTGGCTTCACTTAACAAAAAAAGATGAAATCCATAAAAATGGTATCCAAGCATTCCAGATGTCCATTTTTAGCTTTTAATTAGAAAACTGTTTTTCCTGTTAGTTCGGTTTGAATTTCCAGGGATAAGAGCAAAGCAATGACCTTTTCAGTTTGCGAGCCACCAAGAGCTACGAAACTGCACTGTTACTTTCATCTTCACCCCTGCCCTTACTCATGACACCAACACTTTGTGCTCAGTGTAAAAGTCAAAATTGGTAGCAGTGACCCTGCAGCTGGAATTTATCTCCTATGACTGCTTGAAAAATAAAATTTATCCCATTTGCTTATAACGATTGGCTATGAAGTGCTAAAAGTAGTAAAAGCTTCTTTTTTGTGTGGTTACGTTAAGACAAGCTGACTACACAGAGCAGATGTGTCAATTAAAACCATCCCTCTTCTTTTTTTAACGCGAGAGCTCTTCCAACTGCAGCCACGCATCAGCGTTCGTGTTTCAAAGATCTGACTCCCCTCTTCCCCCTGCAAATCTGAAACCCCTCCCAAGCCCATGGGAACACGAGATGCGCTGTACGCAGCAAAATCTGCGGCCAGCTTAGTCCGTAGAGATCCCAAAGAACAAACCTATGGAACTGAGAGTCTTCCACGTCCGAGCACTTGTTTTGAGGCCAAGTTTTCAAAGGCAAAGACGTATATTCAGCATAAGACTGCGTGCAAATACCCCACATGTCCTTAAAAGCAGATTATGGATAATACGAGTTGGCCGCCCATCGTTGGCCAATGTAAGTTGGCTGCTCATCGTTGGCCAACGTGAGTTGGCCACTTCGAAGCTAAACCCTAACTCTAAACCCTTGCTCGTTCGTAAAGCCTGGACTCAACCTCCAAAACCTGCACCCAGGTCACCTCAGCTGGGGTGGGAAGGTGTTACCTGAGGTGGTGGCAGCGGCGAGGCCGGCGGCAGCGATGCAGAGCAGTGCCTGTAAGCGTCCGGGATCCGGATGCATAGCGCCAGATTCCAGGAGTTGAAAGCACCAAGCTCCACACTAAGACGAGGCACTGAAACAGCTACAAAAAACAAACAAACAGATGTCTACTGTAAGCTTCAGGAGTCAGTCTTTTAACTCTCTTACAACAAAGTGTTTGGGGTTTAAGGAAAAAAAAAAAAAAAAAAGCACAACCAGGAAACAGCCAATATTCTTTGCAATATAGAAACCATCTGTAAAAATGAGTTAGAAGTTGAACTTAACTACATTTCCAAGTACTATTCTTAATATAAGATTTTTTTTCCACAGCTGGAGTATGAGGCCTCTGCGCTGAACCAAACTGCCTTGATAAATTAGAGTACTTTCCAACCCGAGGAACTGAAGTCCAAAGTAAACAGCTTATCTATTGGAGATAATATTGTTTGCAAACAATAATCATTTGACCATCTATCACCAGGCTACACTTGTTTTCCAAGTTTTTATGAATTGACGTGCTGCGACGCATCGGCCTCTCATCACTGCTCTAAACGTCGCGGGCTCTGCTCCTGCTGGTGGCCTTCACCATCCCACAGCAGCAAACTTCTACTGGAAAAAAATCACCAGTATTAAGCTCATTCTCATTTATATTCCCAAACGGATACTGCTTTCTCTATACTTCTCTAATACTGCTTTCTCTATACAAACTCCACCACGAAACCAGCAACCAAACTTGCACCAGGCAAGTCTCAGAAACAGCGTTTCTGACACCCTGGGTCTCCATCAAATGCTCTTTTCTCCAAGAAATAAAATAATCTGCAGCTGTCGGTCACTTAAATTGTCCATTTGCGTAATGTGATGATGAATATGATCAGGGTTCATTTAGCACAGTTACTTCATTTATCAGCCCGGCCATACAATCCCACTGCTAACACTCAACATTTTAAACATCTCATACATCAGACGTGTATATAAACACGGATCTAACACACACACAATAAGTAAGAGTTTTACTGGCAGCACAGAAACAAGTGCAACAACACACAGGCTGGGCAGACAGAAGTCCCTGTTTATTGAGCGCTCACAGAGCCATTTGCTTCCCAAGAAGCCGGATCCAGACATTAACACCAAAACTATTCCCATGGCTTATTTAAAAAGAAAAGTATTTTATCATTGGAACATCACTGTGAAATATATATATGCAAAACAAGCATCGGGAAGTGACTCTAATAATAATCAAAGGATCACTCTAGATGTTATAGAGCTTTTTGCTCGTGGCTCCTTCTCCCTGCTCAAGCAGCCCAGTGTTTCTCATGCTTCTGGGCACCTTGACCTGATCCAGCACTTTTCTTCCAGCCCTTGGGAAAGGCTGGGAATGCCACGGCCCCTGGGCCGTTGGGGAAGCAGTGGATGGCAGAGGAGCCGGGCTGAGCAGAAGGAGCTTTGGTTTATTTGAGTTCTGGCTGGGTTCAAGGGCAGGAGAGCGGCTCCACCAGCCAGCGCTGGGGACAGAGTAAACACCCAGAGAACTTGTTAACATCAAACACTTTGCTGAAGAGGGGTGGGGGGCAATGTTGCTTTTCGCCAAATCTTCCCTCCACTATTTATTTATGAAAAGCAATGAAACGTATATTCTAGGTCAACTTTAACCCCAGCACATGGAGCTACCGGGTTATTTTGCAGCTGTCTTTTTAAACAAGGCCAGCTCATTATCTTTAACTAAACTTTATCTTTGGAGATCTACTTTATCCAGTCTCTGATTTCCCTCTGTTTATCTTTCTCTTTACATGTTCCTGGCTGCCAGTGTCAACAGCTACTCCTCTTTTGACCTACCAGTTTGGCTTTCACAGGCTTGCGGAGTGGGAAGATCAACTGTAAAGCTGCGAGTACACAAAGCAAGCCACAAATACCAGAGTTCTTTGACTGGAGGGAAGAAAAAAAAAAAAATAATCTCACTTTAAGTGGAGCAGCATCGTTCAGCAGCAACACTCGGCCAGCCCAACAAAGCTTCTCTACCACCCGCTCCGGAAGGGACTGCAGAAACCTGGTATTCACTGGTAGATACAGGAACACGGCGGGAAGAGGAGAACCAACTACTCAATCCAAAAATATTTGCTTTTTATTCTCTTTCTTCTGCAGATGGTGTCACTGCAGAAGCTCCTTGCCAGGTACAGAGAAGAGGGCACGACCACAGCTTGTAGTTTTGGGGTCTTTAGCAACCCAAGAGAGAAACCTCTTTAATGTTTTATTAATACATATCGGAGCACTAAAAGTCCTTAGGGATGGAAAACCAAAATTCTTCCCCTCTGCCATCATTTCAATAACCTTGAACTCCCATTTGGACAGCAAGTACCAGTCACTGGGGACCTACTGGGAACAGAAAGAGGAGCACTTTGCTTAATGTGGCTCCATTTAAACATCTCGAACTCCAAGACGAGCTCACCCAGGAATAACTCTGCCCACTGCTCACCACTCCTCTCTCCAGAGAATGAACCTCCATCGTTGGTACATCAAAGTTATTTTGCACTAAGAAGTGTCACGGAAGTGTCATCTTCAAGCCTTGTAAAATCACAGAATCATTCAGGTTGGAAAAGACCCCTGGGATCATCGAGTCCAACCATCTACCCTACTCTACAAAGTTCTCCCCTACACCATATCCCCCACCATCTCATCTAAACGAATAGAATCATAGAATCATTTAGGTTGGAAAAGACAAAATAAAATACTAGTAATAGCAGTTATGTATATGAATAATATTCAAGGTTGAAAGGAGATAGACATGGTTTTTATGGATTGAGTCCCTTCCACTTTCATCGGCAACTTCCCTGCCCATGGCAGGGGGGTTGGAACTCGATGATCTTTGAGATCCCTTCCAACCCTAACCATTCTATGATTCTGTGATTATCCAGACCACCATTGCCATACACCAGAAAGCCCCAGCAGGGCAAAGGCCTGTATTTTTCCTACGTCCACCAAGACACCTTCATTTAAGGTCACCTTCCAATTATTTTCATCCAGCACTTGACCTTCTCATCAGCTCTAACATAACTTGTTGCTCACGGATCAAGAGAAATGAGGAAGACAACGGACTTGAGTCCGGAAGAGGAGTCGTCCCATGCGTCCTGGTGGACTTGGAAGCACGCTGCACTGGCAGGGGTGCCCAGAAACACCCTCCTCCTACTTTTGGAGATAATGAGTAAGAGGGAATACTTCTGAAGACAATGTAATTCTGGTTGTGCGTCCCATTTGTCACAGGCTCTTTTGAAAAGGGACCTCTTGCCAACCACATGCCCACCCCTCAGCTCACACTGTCAGCCCCACCACCTTTGGGCAAGCAAAAGAAACCAGCAGAGGTCCCTCCAAAGGCAAGGGTTGTGTTTTGATCAGCCCCTTCAGGAGCAGCGGGGGCAGCGGAGAGGTTTCCCAGCGTGGGAGCAGGGCTGTCCCATCAGCCACGGCACACACCAGCAGGGTGGCTGGCACACCATCTCCCAAAGACCTCACCAGGATGGGCACGGGCCATTCGCAGCACATGGACATACCCAAACGTTCTACTGACCTGAGATCACAGAATCTTCTAGGTTGGAAGGGACCTTCAAGATCATCTTGTCCAACTGTCAACCTAATTTTGACAAAAATAAACACCCACACAACAAACAAAAAGCAACACCATCACTAAACCATATCTCCCAGCACTACATCAACCCCTCTTTTGAACACCTCCACGGATGGGGCCTCCACCACCTCCCTGGGCAGCCCATTCCAAGGTTTGATAACCCCTTCGGTGAAAAAAATTTTCCTAATATCCAGCCTGAACCTCCCCTGGCGTAATTTGAGGCCATTTCCTCTCGTTCTGTCGCCTGTGACTTGGGAGAAGAGACCGACCCCCACCTCTCTACACCCTCCTTTCAGGGAGTTGTAGAGAGCAATAAGGTCTCCCCTCAGCCTCCTCTTCTCCAGGCTGAACACCCCCAGCTCCCTCAGCCTCTCCTCATAAGACTTGTGCTCCAGACCCCTCACCATCTTTGTTGCTCTTCTCTGGACCCGCTCCAGCACCTCAATGTCTTTTTTATGGTAGGGAGCCCAAAACTGGACACAGTACTCAAGGTGAGGCTTCACCAGTGCCCAGTACAGGGGGACAATCACCTCTCGGGCCCTACTCGCCACACGGTTGGCCTTCTTGGCCACCTGGGCACACTGCTGGCTCCTGTTCAGCCAACAGTCGACCAACACCCCCAGGTACTTTTCTGCCAGGCAGCTCCAGCCACTCTGCCCCCAGTCTGTAGAGCTGCAGGGGGTTGGTGGGATCCAAGTGGAGGACCCAGCACTTGGCCTTGTTGAACCTCATCCCGTTGGTCTCAGCCCATGGATCCAGCCTGTCCAGATCTCTCTGCAGAGCCTCTCTACCCTCCAGCAGGTCAACACTGCCACCCAGCTTGGTGTCATCTGCGGTCCAGAGGGCTTCTTGCCTCCAATCCAGACAGACTCCATGCAGCAAGACAGTACAGCAACCCTCTGCTCTTGTCCCACAGCTTCACGCTGTTTCTCCAGACACCAGCCATCTTCAATGGAAGGCTCCACATCTGTTCTGTTCCATGTAACTAACTTAACCTACCACCTCCAAATTAACTCGCTCCTACCCACGCTTGCCCCCCAAGAGTACGTTTTACACTCTACAAGATGACAAAACTCTGGCCTGCGTCCTCCAAGACGCAGCTGAGAACCTGCCCTGCTTATTTACTGGAGCATGAGCTCCTCACCTCCACCCCTGCAGCTGAGGGAAGAGCCACTACTGAAAAAAAGCATTATCTCATACCCTTTTTTTTTTTCCATTTAACCCTTTTTTGATAGTTTTTGTTCCCTCTGGTTCAGCTCCCTGAATCATCTTCCTGCCATTTCGGACCAGCTGGCAGGGCAATGCCAGGACCTCCCCTCCACCAACCAACGGCCACCAGAGCTCCACAGCCACCAGCCCACCTCAGCCTGGTGCCACCACGCTCCCGTTCCATCACTCCCCCTCCAAAACTCGTCCCACCTTCACCTACCCTCTTCCACCTCCTGAAGCTGGAGGAGGAAAGGGTTTCTTCGCTCGCCAAAGGCTCCAGGTCCCAAAAAGGCTGGAGCAAAGTGGAAGAGGAGGAAGGAAACGGCATGCTGGGGAACAGAGGGGGTTATTCAGGTTGCCCACTCCACCTCCAAGAGCTCAGGGCCTTCTCTGAAAAGCCCTAGGAAAAAGTGACAGAGCTGGAGCTCCAGGGCAGCGCTGCCCACCAGCTGCAGACAGGACAACAGTTTCCACTTGGACTAAAACAGCCTTGGGTACGAAAGAGTTCATATTTTTGTTAAACTCAAAAATCAATTAATGCAACCCCACTTTATGATGCTGTGTGTGATCTAACACCTAAAGCACGGCAAACGCCGAGATTATTTCCCCCCCGCCTAAGTCATTTATTACAGAATTTCCAAGAAAAAACAGCTTCATTTTCACTTGCTCGCCAAGATTGTTTCCATCAGCACAACAAAAATTTCAGGTTTTTCAAAGCGCCTAAATTTAACCCCCCCAGAATTAACTAAAACACTGTGCCTTTAGTGTGAGTGAGCCGAGTTAGATCATTAAATCTCACACCAAGACCCCTTAAAAAAAAAAAAAAGAAAAAAAAAAGAGGTATTGAAGCCTGTGGCATTCCAAGAGAAAGCAATCAGACATTCCTGCCGCTCGGCTCCTCAGTGATCTCCCAAGCCTTTGATCACTGACTGTCTTCATGCTGTCCTCCTGGGGTCTGGCAAAATGAGTGTAACAGCTGGCATATATACTTCATTAGCTTTTTGTGTCGGGGAGGAGCGGGTTAGCAGCCCGCCGGCTTCACAGACTAACCTCCCAGGCTTATTCCTGCCTGGAAAAGCCCTGGAGAGGTCCCCGGGCACCCACACCGGTGGGTCCAGCCGCGTCGCCCCGACCTTCCCGAGGCACCTCTCCCACCAATGCACCCCACGCTAAGGATGCTGACTCCTAACACCAACACGCGGGTCCTGAGGTGGCTAAAAGGCAACCAAGCCCTGTTTTTTATAAATGCTTAATGACCACTCAATCATTAACATCAACCTTTAAAAAGCAAATGCAGCACCTACAGTGTTCATTACCCTCCCCCTCCCCTCCTTTCAGGGTCTCAATCGAGGCAGCCGAGCGTGCAAACCGATCCTGTCGCCAGCAAAAGCATTTCCTTTCTCCCTGGTCAGCCCAACGCCGGGGAAGAAAATGGAAGTGACTTGGAGTTATGGCACCAAAAAGGCCAGACAAGCAAGGAAATAATCAACTCCACATGAGCCACTTCTAGCCCATCACAATGAAAAGGGCCCACGACTAACCCCAGGAAAGGTCAGCAGGACTATGGGGGTCAGAAGCTGAAAAAGGCAATAGCCAGCAGCTGCCAGCTGCAATCAGAATCAATGTGGTCCTAATTACGCTCCGACGAGAGGGCTCGAGCGCCGAAAAAAAGTCCCGCTGTAATCACAGCTTGCCCAGAAAAAAAAAATTGAAGGGCTCCCGTTTTACTCCTTTCACCTCCAGCACTGAAACTGCACTTTCTGTTACTAAATTACAGGAAGCCGAGCCGTGGAGATAAGGAGCCAGGCATTTACATACGTGTTGTGGTGGTTGTTTTGTGCTGTTGGTTTGGTGTTTTTTTTAAATACCATAATTCAGCATTTGTATTAGAATTATGGCATCACGAAAGACAGGATTGTGTGAGTTGTCAGTACTAAAATTACGCACTTCAAAGGGATTTTGTGGGCGCTTGCATTAAACAAAGTGAACTCTGCCTGGCAGTCCTATCCTGAAAAATCTGAAAGGGAAAACCCCACAAAACCAGTTTGCTGACAGTGACCCTATAAACCAAGTGTGAAAGATATAAACAGGTCAGGATGCAGGGAAACGTACTCCAAGGCATCTATGGAAACAAACCAAATGGGAAGGCATTTAAAAATTACGAGAAATAGCACCCTTTGATGTTATGTTCATATTTATTTATTACATTTTAAACAAATGAAAGTATTCTTTCTAGATCCTTATCGTAAAAACTCAAAGGAGAGAAATTAAATTGGGCAACCTTCGCAATCCTCACTTCCAATTTCATTAATGCCTCCAAATTTCTGCCCAGTGTCCCAATCAATCAGCGCTGAGCCAGCACCCCACAGCTTCCTCCACGCAGTCCCTCCTTGGGATTTAAGGGGTATTTTTACTCCTTTTAGGTAACATTTTTCTCAGCACCCTTGCAGGAGGCTCCGTGAACCTTCACGCTTGCTCCACATGATTTAACACACACACACACTGTCCAGTGACAAATCCCAAGAGCAATTTTGGGGGCTAAACTGTGGCTCTTGGAGCGGTTTGGAGGGGCACACTATTTTTGTCAAAACGAGGACTGAATGTTTGCTCAGGGCAGCAGATGACAGGAAAAACAAACAGCACCGAGCAAACGAGATGGTGACCGAGTTCCTACAAGGAAAGGGGACCTTAAGTCCTGACGACCTTCCTTAATGTGTCTTTCTTCCAAAGCTATAAACCACTCTCAATAACATCAGTAATTTACTCAAACTCTGTTACAGGTAGAGTCCAGCATCACAGGACAAAGGTGACGCAAGAAGGCATTAAGCAACCGGGGGGGAAAAAAAGAAGAAAAAAAAAAACTTATTAGCCTAAAAACATGACCAAAATGTTGGCCTGCCTCAAAGATGGAGCAGCAGATCTTTGGCCGAGTCGTTCATTGGATTTTTCTATTTTGCTTTCAGGCCTGGAAAGCCTCATGGCTGGTATCAGCTGTTGGACTCTGATCAAAGTTTAGCTTTCCATTAATCCTTTAAGTTACATGTGAGGCTGATAGAGAATATATATATATTTTTTTTTTCTTTTTTAGAAGACAGTTAAGATTACTCAGATACTTAATTTGCACTCCAATATTTCAAAAACACCTTGACTTTAAAACCCTCGGTCTTGGCGCACATATGGTCTTGATAGAAGAACGCATGCTTTGGCATGGGCTGGAGAAATGGATTTGTGAGCCGAGGGAAGGCAGTTTAACAGTTTGTGTGCTGTGGGGCCAAGGGGGCCCCGACTTTCTCCTCTGCCCCCCACGCCCCCACCTCCTGCTCAGGGAGACCCAGGACCCCCAGGATCCCCCTCATCCCGCCCTATCGGCACTGGGCACAGCGAGAGAGGCATCAGGGAAAAAAAAAAAATAATAATAATAAATCAGCACAGAAGCCACACTTTCTTAGCCACAAACAGGCATAACAATTAGGTTAATTTTATTCACTTCAAAAAAAAAAAAAAGCTGAGACAGTCCCCCTGCTGCCTCACTAATGAAGTGGGTATGGTTTCTGACTCTTCTAGCCTCGGGGGAGGAAAAAGAACAGAGCATTAGCCTAATATACAGTTCTGCTGGGCTGCAATTATGCTTAAATGCCTAAATAAGGGCTTTTAGACCTCGAGGGATCCGAAGGTATCATTAGTCTAACAGTTCCATCAGAGTTAACTGTGGACCAACAGAATTCTCACCCTTTGCTCTTCACAGCCTCTGAGACCTCACCCCTCTCATTCCCTCCTGGCCAGGGACTACTTTGCCTGATATTCCCATTTTCCTCCCAATCCATAGCTCCCCACCTGTACCCGTTCTGTCCCCACCACCACCAGCTCCGCTCACCTCCAGACGGGTCTCAAAGGGTCCTTCTGCAAACACCCCTCTGCTCCCTCCTGCCCTCAGCCTCGGAGCCAGGGCACTGTTTTACTTTTCAAACCAGGGATTTCTACCAAGACTGAGCTTTCGCAACCAGTTCGAGCCAATTTAAAGCCAGGAGGGCAGCAACACCTTCCTTCAGGACCTGGCTTGCGTTCACCTATCTGTACCAAGGATCGTGCGGCCGCTGGGTGAGTCAGACCGGCTGGCGGAGCCGGTGGAAAACTCAGCCAAAGAAGAAGGAGGTTTAGTTTTTCACCTGGACGAGGGAGCAGTTGGAGCACTCACCCGACAGAGGGGGAAGGAAGGGACACCCAGGAAAGGGAACTCCATACTCGGAACAGCGCGAGGCCTGGGATCAGCTGAGGAAGCACCACCCCAGTACCTTTAATAAGCTTTCGACTGCAAGAATGCAAGCAAAAATAAAGAAAAAAGCATATGAAACCCAACTCCAAGTGATACATGCCCCTTCTCCTCAAGTGAGGTGAGGGACTCGCCGTCCCAGTCATTGGAACCACACGTGCACACAGCAGGGAGCTGCTGCACTGCCTCAGGCCTGCTCTTTTCCCCCTAAAAAAGTTTGCATTTTGCACACCAAGGATGATCACCCACATTTATAATTTCTCAGCAGTTTCTACAACCAGAATCAAGCATGTTAAAAAAAAAAGCCACCACAGACTAGGAGCACAGGCTGGCTCTGGCCATCAGAAAAACCTGTCAGACTCTCAGACAAAGGAGCTTGTGTCCACACACGCTGCCCAAAGCTCAGCTTCCAGCGGCGCCCTCCTCACGCCCGGGAGGTTTGGAGCCGAGAGGAGGTTCATGAGAAGAAGAGCAGCCACGGCCAAGCTCTGTTGGAGGACAGCAAGCTCAGTTCTGAGGCGATTCCAGCTGAACGCCAACACCTCGTCCATCGGTCGCCTCCAGCAAGCTCTAAAAAAAAAAAAACAGGCAGGCGAACGGGTGCCTTCAGCTGCCTCACCCCCCATCCAAGTCAGTCTGTTGCAACTTGCCGGGATCCATGCTATCCGTGATCCCTTCAAGGGAAGCACAACTATTAAATCCACACCTGCAGCCAGAATTTATAGCAACCCCATCTACTGCTGTCTTACATCATCGGCAATTAGGAGCCTGTGAACTTATGGCTGCAGGATATGGGAGGCACGCTGGAACCGGAGAGAGCTGAGCCTGGTTACGGTTGTTAGTCACCCTGCCCAAGTCACCCTGCCCAGGGACAGCTGAAATTGTGCACAAAACAGAGCAACTGACCCATTTTGACTGGGTTTTCCCAAAGAAAAACACACTGCCCTCCAGCTGGAATCACTGCTTCCCCCTCCCTTCGCAGCGGTCCCTGCACTGCCACGTGCGATGCCAGTGCGCGCCGAAGCCATCCCCGGGGCGGGCAGGCAGGAGAACAATGCTTATTAAAAAGCAAAGGGGCTAACGAGTGACAGCTGAAGGAGAAAGCAGGAAAGAGCCCGTCCTTTCTCCCCCTGATTAAAACAAGCCTTTGAACAACTCGTCCCTCGCCGTTACAGTAAACTGAGCGGGTAATTCGGTTTTACTGCTCTCCCCCCCGCCCTCCTCCTCCTCCTTTCCCCCCCCGTCGCCCCATGGATCAAACCTGGTTTCAAAATTAAAGTCCGAACTCTGCGGCGAAAATGCATTTCTGAGCCTAGAGGGAAGGCATCCCCACACCCCCGACGCTGTTCCTCCAGCAAAGCAGCAAAACCACCCCCCATTAGCCTCGGGCCCAGATAAAAAGCTGTCTCAACGCAACAGCCAGGCAGGAAAAAAAAAAAACTGAGAAAAAGAAAACAAAAAATTAAAATCGCACTGGTCAGGTTTGCTACAAGAGGCTGAGCTGGCTCCCACACCAGGAGAGGGGCAGCAGAAGACAGGGGTGGTTTTTCTTGGGGACCAAGGAGGGCATCGATGCCGGGGGAGGACGATGCAGCAGCCACCCCCAAAAGGGAGGGTTTGGCTCCTCCAGCAGAGCCGGGGCAGGGGGGGCACAGCCTCGGGCAGCCCCACACCCCAAGGCAGAGCCCTCAGTCCGCTCCCAGGAACAGGGCTGATGGTGGCTCTTGCCAGCGGAACCAGTTCCAACAGGAGCCACCGACAGCAAAGCCGTTGGGTCTCATCACGGGGAGCAGGGAGAATTTTCCACCGGGGGAGCCTGGCTGCGCCCCGTTTCCACTCGCACAGACACATCCCGCTTCGCCCAACGGGATTTCTGCTTGGACATCCAAAGGGAGACACCTTCCCAAGGGAAGAAGGGGACCCCGCTCCCCTGGCTTCGCAACGCGGGAAGAAGGTTCGAGAGTCTGGGGAGCACGTCAGCTCCCCCGCGGGACTCCGGTGCCGAGCTCAGCAACAGGCAGGGGCCCTGCAAAGATAACTGGCTGCCGGGACCGACTCCATCCCACGTTAGCATCCATCAGATAGCAAGAAAAACAAGATTAAGCAGAACCACGGCATTAGTCTTCATTTAAACTTGGCAAAGAAAGGGAATGTTTCTTTTTTTTTTTTTTGTTGGCTCCTCTTTGTGTGTTTTTTAAGCCTTAGCCAGAGAAAGGTGCCTGGACTTTTTAATAGTGGGGGATTAGAAGGGACAACACTTGTACACTTGCCAGAGCCCAGATAAGTGGTGAATGCTTAGGTTCAGCAGGCTAGCATCTGCCTCCCGCAATATATACATTGCCAGAGTGAAAATAAACAGCTTCACACCTTTGGCTCAGAGAAGGGCTTCAGCTTCTTTTACGTCCTCAACCTGCAGCCTCTGCACTCCAGGAGGAGGGTCAGGGTCACTTGCAGTTCCCTTATTCCAGCCTATGAGGACAAGGCTGGAAACTTAAGGTCTCCTCTTATCCCGGGCAGGAGGATCCGGGTCCTTCCTACAGGACACAGGGTCTGGCGTTGCCTCGCTGTGTTTTACTGTAACCAGAAGAGTTGTTTCAGACAAGCTCAATACACACACTTTCCACATCTGTCAGTTACATACCAGCAACAGCAGATGCACTGATGAAGAAAAATGCTAATTGGAAAAGTAGACCTTTTTTTTAAGGGCTCAGCTCAAAAGCCCATCATTAGGAAACCACACCTCGATTTAATGCTGCCACCCAATTCCCTGGGGTCTGATCCCGCAGGGATTCCCAGAGCTGCAGAGCCACACAATCCCAGACCCTCCAAACTTTGGTACCCACCACCGATGAGCCCGTCCCAGACTCCCCTCCGCTCCATCCCAACTCGCACAGCCATTTGCAAGTGCGGTCTGCACCCCAAAAACCACCTCCGTCTAAATAGCTGAATTTAAAATTATATCATTAAGCCTGATATTTCAACACATTTAGAGAGTTTTGATAATAACGTTTTTGATTATATCCGTTGCCAGCTTCCTTCTACACCCTGACAAAGATTTAAAGTATACATTCCTATTTCATTCTGCAACAAAGATTAGTGGCAGGAACAGAAAACATCTTCTGTTCCAAAAAACCCTCGGGGTTTTCCTCCTTAGCTTGCATTTTATTAGAGGAGACTCAACTCTCCGTCGAGCTGCCATACGCTGTCACTGCAAAGCGTTGCAGTAACAAGCACCCCGAGTGCCACTCCAAAACCCACCTCGGGAAACCACGAGATTCCCTGGAGCTACAGCAAAGGTGAAACTGCTCCTCAGAAGTCACAGCCCCCAGCAAACTGTATGAAAATCCGGGCCCACGCTCCAGCGGACGCACGCGGAGCCGTGATTTGGAAACTGTTTGCGAGCTCTTATAGGGGAGGAAGGGAGGGGGGAACAAAGGAAAACCACATGCTATTGTTTAGTTTGACTCCACAATGCATTTAATCTACATGGGGTTGGAACCTTACGCAGCAGAACTCTTCAGCTACCAGAAATTAGGCACAGCCAACACCAGCAAAACCCCACTCTCTGAACGGGGAAACGCTGTTTTAAAGATCTTATCCGTGCCCCACGCAGCACAGAGGTTCTTCAGAATAGAGCTGGAAGCTGTCACCGGCTCTTCCCACCCCACAGCCCCAAGGGGACGGCACCAACGCAACACCAGCACCCACCAAACCAAGGAAAAGCCAGAGCTGATAAGCTCCACCAGCTTGACCTTGAGCTATCCCTGGAAGTGCTCAAGGCCAGGCTGGATGGGGCTTCAAGCAACTTTGGCTTTGGAGGTGTCCCTGCCCATGGCAGGGGGGCTGGCACTCAATGATCTTTAAGGTCCCTTCCCACTCTAACCATTCTATGATTCTATGATTCTACTGGAGCGAACAAGTCTACAGCAGACACAAGGGTCCTGAGCAGAGGAAAGACCCACCCAGACACCTACAAACATCGCACCCCTCAGCCTCTTGGGGCTTGTCAACCGTATCCATCTACCCTTCACACATCTGAAGATGATAAAGTGACAAAACACAGCTTTGGAGCTGCTGGAGTTATTCCAGCACATCCAGAGGGACGATAACAGATCCAGCTACAGGAATTCCATCGCTACCATTGCGCAACATTCCCTCCCCACCCTCCTTCCCGACTGTGTGTGTGATAACCAGGACTGCACACAGGTCACCAGGAGAAGATCTTCAGTGTGTGGCTCCAGGAGATCTTCAGGCTCCAGAACAACCCCAACCAGCTCAGAAAGCCGTGGATCTGGAGATGAGGTATCAGCCAGGCAGGCAGGCAGATCCACCCCAGAGCAAGCTAACAGGCACCTTCCTCAACAGCCTGTTTCTCCTTCTAAGCCACCCATTGGCATCTCCTGGTCTCCAACAAGGCACGCTGCCTGCTGGTGGGGCCCCGAGAGACCTGAGCTCACCCCCCCTGGCAGGTGCCAGCATCAACCCTTACCCAAAGCCAGGTAAGGAGGACATGCAGACGAGTGACAACGCAGAGCAGCAGCATCACTGCTGGCCCACCCTCTCCAACCTGAGCCACCCCCAGGCTCAGCAGAGCTGGGGTTCATCTTCTCACCACCTTTGGCAC